TATGTGAGATGAATTTTGTTATTCATGAATAATGAATAATTGATAGACGCAATGGGGTTGCATAGAAACAAAAAATATTACATTTTACATTATCGACAGATATATGTAATCTAAAGTATGCCTGTACACTAATGCAAATACTTTCATAGATTGGATGTTTTTTTTAACTGACAGAAAATAAAAGCAAACAGTAAAAGCAACGATTATTATGAGTTTTCCTATAAAAAAATACTTTCATTTAGAGTTTTGGAGATTTGTGTTTTTTACATATTTGAAATCATCAATCAATCGTTGTTAGAAGACGTGACCATTGGAGTTCAGCCCTGTCGGGTGTAGGCAGTAACTATCAAAGACAAATGAGTGAGGTCGCGCAAAATCCCTAGATCATTCAGACTTAGACATTAAAATCGTTGGATGCCGGACATCTTTTTATTGGAATTGACTGTGTGCTTGTGTTTACTATCAACATCGGATCACATACTTACTTACTTACTTACTTACATACGCTTGTTAACCCTAACAGAGCACAGGTCGCCGACCAGCATTTTTCCGACTAGCGTTCTTGTTAGCAAGTTAGATTTCTACAGGATGGCGTCACTAACCCCATGCTAAATCCTCCTCTTTCATTCGGGCTTCAGACTGGCAGTGACCCTAGAAGGGCTGCTGGCGGAGTTGTGTTTACTGTAGAAAACCTATTCATTCAATAATTTTATTCATTTGTTATTGATATATCACTTAGTGAAATATAATAAACCGATACCAGCCAAGTGAATTGATGGATCCAAATGTCTAGCCGTAGTTACTTTTGGTCTCTTAAATAAAGACACATTTTTTTAAGAACAGATTTACACAGAACAGAAATGGCACAACAACAACAACAACACCAGTAAATGTATATTCATGTTTTGTGTATTTTTTCAACACAATGAATTTCATTGTTTACATGAAGAAAAAAATTAATTCCACAGATAGAGATCAAAATGTTAAGAACTAATTCAGTCACTGTTTTATTTTGGAAATTCAAGCAGGATAGTCAAATAAATTATGGAACACTAAATAATATTCTGTTGTTACAAAGGTTTATGGAGACTTACCAACTTATTTACTCACGTTAGTTACCCCTGATGGAACATAGGCCGCAGAATAGCTTTCCCCTAAACAGTTGTTTTTCCCAAGCGCTCTTCATTCCTATCATGTCTGTTTCCGATTCTCGGCACAGTGTGTTTTTGGTCTACCCCTTTTCCTTTGGCCTTGAGGATTCCAAAAGATTGATGAATGTTATTTAGATCATGCACTAATCTGAGTTTGATAGTTGCTGAAAACTTGGCTCAGTTGGTGGAACGGTAAGCGCTCTTCAGGATACCTGATAATTCTGAACGGTCTTCAAGAAGAAATCATGGATGCGCACTTTTTATGAGTCCAATATCAAGGCAAAACAATTATCTGATGTTTTCTGGTTTTCAATGGTTGTCTAACTTAAGCTCTTTTAATATTACGGTAAAATTCTTTTTGATAAGCACTGATTATGTTTATAAACAACTGACAATATTTCATGGGAATAACACTTCAAAAGTTAAAAATCTCATAGAGACATCTTTTATTACATTAGCTTTTCTGAGCTACAGAAAAAAAACTAAAAGATTTTATAGTGGATGTATAAGTTTAAGCGAACTCTTGATATGTCGTCATTAAAACAGCCTTAAATAGAATTCATTCTAATGTGTAATGTTTGAAAATGTTTTGACATTTCAAGCCTTCAAATATCAGTGTTCTATTTTTTTAATAATGGAATGGAATACACTTATATTTATTATTTGTAATTTAATGAATAAAACAATTTAACGAGACGCCAACGTTTAAACGTAATATAATCAACATAAAAATACCCTAAAAGTTCAGTGACAGTCGCCTTTACATAATGTATCCGTTAAACAAAATCGAAAATTTCCTATGTAGGCATGAAACTATATATGTATAGTGGGTGTGGTGGATGTGGGCTCAATTAGTTCTGTGGTGGTTGGTATTCAATATACCCCCAGATTTTGTATAGTGCTCGTTTTAATAACCGTTACTAAACGCACCTAACTAACACGAAGCGTTGATGACTTTTATTGTTGCACCACAAACAGACCACCAAAACCACAGGTACATGAAGTGGAAATGATATGCGAGTGCCGAAGAACAAGCGAACGAGCGAGCGACCCAGTCAGGGAGTCATCGAACGAACAAGATTAAAATGTACACATATATATATACATAAGAAAATGAATGAGTCATAGAATTATTTAATAGGCTAACATTAAAGTGAGTATAATGACTATGCACGTAGGCGGTAAGCAATTTTCAAGCCTAAATGCTCATACAAGCACAACAATGATAAAAACACAATGATACAGATAAGTGACTGCTAAACGAATGACCTCTGTCTGCTAAACAAGTTAAAATAAAAAGCTTAACCAAATTAAATGTGAACACACTCAAATGCATGTGAGGTACTATGTGATGCTTTTGCACCTTATGGGAAGCAGTATTTTAAATGCACAATAAATTCATTGATAACTTGACACATAAGCAAACAATGTGATCTTAGAAATCATCGAACACTTACCGTCTGAATCAAAATCGGCTCTGTACTTGACAAAATGTTACAAAATTAATAGGAACAGTTTCTGATTCTTGCAAACCACATAAAAATAGATTTGAAATTATTTTCATTAAAATTATTTTTGCTTCAAGATGTTTTCCTAAGAAATTTTATATTTATTTGTATCATAAATCACCCCAAACTGTAGTATCGACTTCAATATGTTAAGGTAAACCGTAGTTCTGCTAGAACATATGCTGATACACATACTGTTACACCCGATGAAGCATCGGTTATTGACGTGCATTCTCCAACCTACTCTGTCCTAGGCTTTCTTTTATAGTTCTCTCTACGTGTTGTTCACTCTTCTCTTGTCTGTCTCCATTTCTTGACGTATTGTGTTCTTCCGCCGTCCTCATATTATTCGGCCTTCAGGATTCCAGATGAGGGCTTATATTGTGACACCGCTTGGTGCTTTCTGCAATGTGTCTTATATATATATATATATATATATATATATATATATATATATATATATATATATATATATATATATATATCATTTCATTAACTATAAGTGATGTATAACTGAGCTGATAGTATTTTTTTAACGGTTGATTATTTCAAATGTTCTTTTTGTTTATTATTAAAAACAGGATGGTACATATCATTGTGGTTGTGATCCTGGCTATGAACTTCAAGCAGATGGACATAGTTGTGAACTGAAATCTTCATGTGATGTAAAATGTGAAAATAATGGCAAATGTTTTGAAGGTAAATGTGTATGTACATCAAATTTTGAAGGTGAACACTGTGAAAAAGATAAGAATGAATGTGATCAATCAATTTTTGAACATGGTTGCAGTCATCAGTGCATTAACACTTATGGATCATATGAATGTGTATGCCCAGCTGGATATCGAAGACTTGCAGATAAACGAACATGTGTTGTAAGTTTTAGAAGTTGTATTTGTTTTTTTTCGTTCATATTTCATAATGATGTGAAACATAAAAGTGTTGTCAATGAGAATGGTAACATTAAGTTGACCAGTAAAATTAGACAACAAACTAACTATAGAATTGTGGAAATCGTTGAGTTTCAATAGAATTATGAATCGGTCAATACTGGACCACCGTTAAAACTTCGAGGCATTGACTACCCATTTCGTCCTAGTTTGGATCTCATCAGCAGTGAGCATCCATAACCCCGCAAATAGGAATCGAACTCATGGTCAGCAATCTCGTACTCAAACGCTTAACCTTTGTACCACTGGGTTGATATCCAATGATTTTAATGTTCAGATCCAATCAATCCATGATATTGTTTGAGTGGTCTAGATGTCAAGCACTCGTACACGAAATCATCGGTTTTGAATTCAATTAGAGCCTTCAGGGTTGTGAATGCTCACTGCTGATGAGCCTCATACTGGGACGAAATGACTGTTCAATGCTTCTGGGATTCCAACAATGGTCTAACATCGATCGATTCCTATGTCCAACGAAATTCACCCAGAATAATGACAGAGTATTGATTAATGTGAACTAGCTATCACTTATGCATCATTCATAGTCATATAATCCAGTTATATTACTGACATAACAAGTATTGTGACTAATCCAGGGTCAAAAATAATTACAATCATTTACTTAAATAATTATTATATGTTATAAGCACACAATACTAAACCATCCATACAAGTACTATATGAACCGTACTAACATTTATCAACCATTATACATGTAATAATAAACTGTGATAAAAAAACAGTGTTTATAACTCAAGTATATTGATCCTTGAAATTGTATTTCTTCATGTTTTTTTTCAAGTAACAAAGAAACAGATAAGAATAAAGAGAACTGCCACATAGCATGAAGACTAAACAATCGACCTAGTCATGTAAAATAGGATCATTAAATTTGTGTAAACAAACCACTTATTATGCCTCTAATGACAACGTTACAAACTAAATCGATCTAATTCATATGTGTTTTTGCATTTCATAGTAATTTCTAGGCATGGATACCAAAAATAATTAGCCTACACCATTAGGTTACACCCAAAAAACAAAAATCCTAAAACCATGTACAATTCTATCAAAGATAACAATAACTAGTGAGAAAAAATAAAAAAAAAACATGAAATACCGCATACAAAACAACTACAGTCAGTATACAACGTGTACACTACGCAAATGTTAAATTATGCCCAACCTATTTGTCAGACATTATAATATTCAATTAGCTTACTGTAATCCATTGATAAATTGACGTTTAGTCACTCTGTTGAATTCAATATATGTGAACATTTAAATAGGCTATGAATCAAATCTCTCTTTCAATTACCGTATATCAATATATATACGAACCTTGTTTGTGAGACGGTGGTCAGTCAGTCGGCCAGTTATAACGTAGAACTTCGTACGTAAGTACATCAGTTCAGGTTGCCATACCACATTAGCATAGAGAGGCAATTGTCAATTCAAATCCCATAGTAGTAGAGATAGTAGAAGAATTACTGCTAATAGAGAAGATAAGTATTTGAAGATAATATTCAAGAAGTATAATTCAGTGAGATAAGTTTAGAAAGACAAAGGTAGATGTGCTGACGAATCCAGAAGTTAAAAACTGGATGCACCTACGCGACTGCAAAGGATTTTGAGCCATGTCATTCAGGGTATCTACTCATCGGTTACTTTCGTCTAACGGACCCCAACCAGGTAGTCGACATCTAGCAACATGACTCAATCCAGTTGTCAGTGACTTCATGGATTTTTGTCGTGTTTTGGTTTAGCAGCACCTAGCTTTCTTCCAACCTACTCCTACACTACAAAAAATTGCTTGTCGAGGCGTTCGGTGGTTGGGCTTTCGTAACAAATATCCGAACCACTTCAACTGATGAAGTTTCAATACTTCATCTACTGATCAGCCATCCTTACCTAGTACTTGCTTCTTAATCGCAGCATTTCGTACTCGGGTATCCCATGATACGCGGACAATGCTTCTAAGACATCTGTGATCAAATACTAGTAACCAATGAATATCTTCTACTCTTACCGGCACGACCGTGGTAAGAAAAAACCAAATACATATTCATTATTATTTTTTGCATTACCTATTAACTAGTGGACTTGATTTCTGATAGTCCGTTTCATCCTTTTTGAATAGATTGTTAAAAGATTTCAACATAAAACAACAAAAACATTAATTTCATGTTGATGAACACTTTTTAAGTAGTCTTTTCAAAAATCTTGAATAAACTAACCATTTTTATAGGATTACAGTTTAGTACTGTAATCGTAGGCATTGCCTGAAATACTCAGGGTTCGATTAAGAAGTTTAGACTAAAAATTCATTGTGAAGTACCCGATGTTACCATACCAAGATTATAGTAATGTGAATTTTCTTCATTCTCATAAGAAGTAAGATATATGTTTTCGCTTTATTGAACTCCAAATGATCTTAATAGCTGAGATCGGAGAAACTTAAAAAATTCATAACTGAAGTGTTTGACGATGTTGGTAGGGATATTGTAAGCTATTGTTATATTAAGTGACACTGGTTTTCTCTATCTTTCATGGAAACCAGCCAGACCTCGTGACTGACTATTTATGAAAGGCTATAATATTTACTCACCAATCATATTACCTCCAAAGTAACAATCTACACACTGAAATCATCAATCAGTCATTGTTAGACCACCATTAGAAACGTACAAGCACTCGACGGCCGTTTCGTCCTGGTATGGGACTCATCGGCAGTGCGCATCCACGACCCCTGCACCTCGCAGCAATCGAACCCAGGATCTTCGGTCTTGCGCGTGAACGCCCAACTTCTGGACCATTGGGACGGCATCCGACGGTGTTAATGTCTAACTCTGATTGATCTAGAGATTTTGCGCGACCTCACCCATTTGTCTATGGTAGTTACTGCCTACACTGGACAGGGTTGAACTACACTGATCACGTCTTCTCACCAGAACTCAGAGAATTTCCTCACGAAGCTCGTCACTAGTGAGCATATTTTACGATATTTTCAATTAGAGTTATGTAGATTAGTGTTTTTACACATCGAAATTATCAATCAATCATTGTATTATACAACGAGTTAACTGCATGCTTCATAGTAATCGTAAGGTGACTCTTTTAAACAGATAACAGCTGCATAGCATACTTAAAAAGAGGCTAAATAATTCAATATTCAGCAATGATACATAATATTTGCATTCAGACCTAGTTCCATGGCAAAGCTAAACTGTTGACTTATTATACAGTTCTAAGAGGTCACTGTCATTAAAACATGGAAATAATCTTTTAGTAACTATCTTAGTCTTCGGCTTCTCATGGGAGATAAGATATGAGTCCATAAATTTGTTGTGCATTTATTTTTCAATGTCCGGCGTGTGTGTGTGTAGAGTATCAAACATTGTTAGGCGTTTTCCAGTTCATTTACTGTTTGATTATTGTACATGAAAGCATAACTTCTATTGAAAATTTCATTTTAACCTCGAACTTACATTGTACTGGAATTTTTCGCATTTATTAAGTCAGTATATATTACAGTAGCGTATTCACATAAGTTATATATAATTAGCTTTAGATGAGTGCAAAATGAAAACACTTATGAAAACTACGTTCTTACCAGTAAAAAATGTTTCATAATGGTAGATAATGCACTTTTTTATTGAAAATTGAAAAAGGTTATTTAACCTCGAGCATTCACGGACACAGAGTGACAGACAATTTTTCAGGGTCATTTATTGTAATTATGTCAACCAAATATGGTAATTGAACTGCATTGAGCTTTAGTAATGATACATTTTAACACATAAGAATTAATGATGTATGAATATGAATCCATTAAGAACGGATTGTTATAAGAATATACTACAAACTTATGCAAAAATTGGAACATTCACTCTCACCACAAACACATAGAACAGAATAATGATTTAAAATTAACTTGACATTATACATCTCTATAACTGCGGTGTTGAATACCTAGAGGAAAGAAACATATTATATAAGTCCAGTTAAACAAATAATCTAACCATTATTTAACGAAGAACTAAATTAGACTTGTTTAGAAAGATAGAATGAATTGATTTTATGTTACAACGATTTGATCTGCCACAGATAGCTCAAAAGTACAACAGTTGTTTAAAATGTTCAATAAGAATAGTTTCCTTTATCATCTGAAAGAACAAATATTTGAACAAAGTAACAGGAATTCATATTATTTCGTTTGGTTCTTGTCAGCTGATTGCAACATGTAAGAGTGTAGTTGAAAGCTGCTCTAATTACACATTAATATAGTGTAGCAATGGAGCAAATAATTCTGGTAGACTGTTTATGTGAACGATTTGTTTACTATATACTGTACTGATAAGTGATCAATGCAAAATTTTAACCAAACTCTTTCACGT